TTCTCCCTTCCCCCCCCCCCCACCTTTATTAATTGCCAGAGGCAGAGGGAGAAAGTACCTTCCAATGTAGTATGGTCCAGCCACAATCACTTCTCCTCCATATCTCCAGTCTGTTGGCATTTTGGGCAGGGTTGCACATGTGCTCAGCATGGTTTTCAAGCCATGGGGCCAGATTTGAAATGCAATTGGCCATGTGGGATCTGGCTCCCTTAATCATTAGGCTATGGGATATTCTCTTGAAACTTTTTGCCTTGAAGTTCTGGTTCTAGCTGTTCCTTTTTAAAAAATGTCTTTCCCCAGCGAAAATACTTAATGAGAATAAGACAGTGTGGAATGGGGGGGAGTGAAGAGAAGAGGATAGAGAAAGATAGCAAGTGAACAAATAGAGAGGCATGACATTAGTGGGACACAAATATGGCTTATTACCTGTTGATGATGACATGTATAGTATTCTCAACTGAATTGGTCTGAAATGTATTTTATGATGAATAAAGTCTTTTTACAAGCAAAATGAGAAATAGTGATTGACTGTTTAAAAAATAATTGGAATAACAATAATGATGATCATGAAAAACAATGAAAAGATATTGAATGATAAAGTGGGGATTTTAATGTCTCTGTATTGACTGATAGGCATAGCATTCCCTTTTGAAAAAGCAATGTAATACACTGTAAAGTTATATGCAATTCAATGTAATATAAACAAGATTGTGATGATAAAAAAAAAGTCTTTCCCCTCTTACCTAAACTCTTGCCCGCCGCTGTTTCAATTCCTTTTGCTGTCGGCCCTCTAGCACAATGACAGTACTCTATGGGAAGACCTAACACAGTTTCCCTTTTTGACCTGTTATCAATCTGTTAGAAAGATTGTAACCTTATTAAAGACAGAGTCTTAAAAACTTTTTCAGTTCTTAGCATAAGGCCATTGCTGTGGCAAGTGCTCAACATTTAAATTCAGGCACCCACCCACTTAGTAGTCAGAAAATGTCTGCTACAAACAACTTACTAACTTCCCAGAGTCCGAGGTGCTAGAAATTGTTAATGAAGAGGAGTGGGGAACCAGCAGTTAGCGTAATGGCTATGTCGCTGGACTCCCACGTAGTCGACCGCGGTTCACGTCCTGGACCCGGTGGCTTAAAACTCACGCCGGGCGCGTGTGCGTGCGTGCCCAAGATCCTGAGAGGAGAATGGAGGAGAAGGGATTGTGGCGTGACCATCCCTCCTGGGGGGTGATTTCTCGCTTTCTGTCTCTATGTCTCTCTCTGCCTGTCTGGCGAGCGCACGTGCCCTATAGCAAAAATCTCTCTCAAAAAAAAAAAAGAGGAGTGAAGGTAAGGAAGCAAAGCTTTTTTGATTTTAGTATGCAGAACACCATAGAGTGGTGAATTTGGTGTACAGCTGGTTTTCTCAGACTGCAATTTTTAAGACCACGTACACTAAAATAATATGTGATGCCTGTTAAAGTACAGATTTCTTGGCTCCATTCAAACTCACTATCTTGGTATCTCAAGGGGGAAGCCCTGAGTATTTGCATTTTTAATGTGCATATGATTTCACCGATTTTCAAACTAAGCTCATATTTCCTTGGATTGTCATGACAATATTGTAATTTGAGGATCCTTCAAGTGTGGTGTAGGGAGTCCTGGGTGTCCCGGAGACTTTTACAAAACTATTTTCATAATAATACTAGGAAATTTCTCTCTTTTCCTCTTATTTTCAAACAATATGGTACAGTTTTTCTGAGGCTACAACGAGTCATATGGCAGGAGAATAAATGCAGGACATATGAGAATATAGCTATCTTCTATTAAGCCAGACAATGGAGATTTGTAAAAATAAAAAACAATGCCATTCTCAGTCATTTTTATTTTGAAAGCTATTGTTCACAGAAATGCTATTTGTGTTGACATAAGGTCTATTATCATTTTAAAATGAGTAACTTTTTTGAAAGTTGTTTTTATTTCTAAAATGGTAGATAGTGATAGCTGTAATCCACATAACCAAACAGTCTTTGAAGTACTCAATGCGACCAAAAAGTCTGAAAACTACTGCTAAAATAGCATTTAAAGGTATGCAGATCAAGATCCAGTTAAGTGGCTTTTTTCCTTGATTTTTGGACTAGGCCTTTTTTTTTTTCTTCTTTCCTAGAGGCTCATGTGCTTGCCAGAGAGACACAGGGAGAGGACTACGCACCTGGGGGAGGGGGGAGATGGTTGTGTCATAATCCCTTCTCCATCTCTCCCTCCTTTTGGGATTTTGGGCGTGCAGGCACATGTGCCAGGCATGTTTTTCAAGCTACTGGTTTGGAACTCAGACCACACAGTTGGCCATGTGGGACCGGAAGGTTGTGGAGCTGGCCCAGAACAGGTATTTTTAATGAGCTCCCAGGTGATGCTGATGCTCCTAAATTTAGAGAACCACCATCAAAAGCAAAAGCAAATATCTGAAGTGTTTCATTATGTAACGATTATTGTATCTGAACATAAAGATAAAATTCTGGGACCATTAAATGGAGTTGGAAGACCTGAGCCCTTAAAAGCCAAGTATAGGATTGTTTCTTTTATCTGTACAATCAGGTTGTCTTTAATGCCTTTCTGGCCCTGTCAACCTGGATTTCATCTTTTCCCACTGCTCAACAGCGACTGAGGAGATGCATCTTTCTGATGAAGGTAATCTTAAAGTCATACATCAGAGCATGCCACTCTCCTGCTTAGAAACCATCAATAGTTTTCCACGGAGTTCCAAATACAAGTTAAAAGTTCCTATCCTGGCTCCCAGGCCTTATAAGATTTGGGATCTACGTCTCTGGCCTCATCTTGTCCTTTCTGCTCCAGGCACGGTGGCTTCATTCTTTTCCTTGACCTTGCTAAGTTTGTTTTCATTACATGGTCCATGCTCCTCATTCTCTGTGCTGGGAACGCTCTACTCCACTCTGTCACATTATCCTGTCTAGATTTATTTAATGTACTACCAGTTTTAATAACTCCGTTTGTTGGCTTGTTTATGGTCTGCTTCACCCCCTAGAATGCCGGCTATCTAAGAGCAGGGCCCTGGCCCGCTCGACTGCGGACTGCCGGGGTACCCCAGCGCCCAGGTAGACCCTGACTAGCATTTGGCGCGCAGTACTATTTCATTACGGAACTTCCACACCAACGCTAGACTTGCAAAAGGGTGGAGGACGTCCTAGCCTTCTTCAAACCAGCCCGACCCAGGGCTCCAAGCCATGCCTTGGGGCCCCCGTACCTCCCCGCAACGCCCCCAACTGAACCATTACTCACCGGACCTCCGCCGAGCTCCTCCAGCCTTCAGCAGCTGCTAGACCCGGAAGTGTTTTCGCGCAGGCGAGCCCGCCTCCGCGCTGACGGAGCACTTCCGGGACCGTCGGAGCGGCGCGCAGACGGTGTCGGCGGTGGTGGCGGTGGCGGTGGCT